ATTAGACCTCAGATCTGATCTTCTACCTCTGAAACACTTCAAGTGCCTAAGAAATTCAGCCCTGTTACTTAAAAAAATTAATAAAAGTCACTTAATTCTGGTAGCATAAGGTGGATAGTCACTACTGTCCATGATAAGCTCTAAAAGGTGCCATGTTCCATACTGATGTGAAATATGACTGAAAATCACTAACAACCATCTCCTTTAGAAAATCACTAACAACCATCTCCTTTACAATCTCATGATCTGAAAATGGCTACCTTTCTGAGTTGAAAAGCAGAATAAATTAATCATAAAGATAGCTTCTTGCCTGGTTTCTCTCCGGAATAATCTTTTTATACGCAGACATACACAGATGTTCAGCCATGAAACACTACCAGACCTAATGCTGCACCCGGGTTGCTGCAACAGAATACCAGGAACCACTCAGGGAACGGAAAATTGGCTTTTGGTGTCCCAGAGCCTGCTTTAGCCAAGCAGAACAGCCTCCCTGGATGTATGAATTAGACATTTCTGAAAAAAATAGCTTCATATTTAACTGCGGGGTTGTCAGATGCTTCGATGATATGTAGCACATGGAATAAAATTACAGGGACAGTATCGGCGAGTAATAAACAGTATAGACAGTGAATTAGCAAAGGATTTAGAGCAAAAATCATCATGGTGTACCCAGACTTCTTTCTGTATTGCTATTATCTCTGTGCACACAGGACAGTACTCGTTACAAATACCTGAATGAATCATCTAATGGCTGTGAATGTAGGACACTCAAGCACTAGCTCGGGTCCTGTGCTCATGGAAACACTGCCGAGGATTCAGCTTATCTCTCAGAAGCACAGAGCTTCTAAAACTCCATATTTCTAGAATATCTTTAGACAACGGAAAATAAAAGCTGGAAAAACCTCAAGAGCTGAAATTGCAACTGAAGAGTTTCAGATATGACGAAAGAATTCAATTTAGCTTAGGATGCTAATTTTTATTTAAAAGCTGCAACAGTCTCAGGCTGGGCTTGCTAGCAGAGGGCACTGTTACGGGCTTCTGCTTATGGCAGTGCAGGTCCCAAAGACGTGCTAGCGTGAAGGTGGTGTGGGTGTGATGGAAATGCTGAAGCCATGCTCGAGCCTTGCAGCTTCATAAGAATCAGTAATCCCTGGAGGAAGAAGGAAGGGACGCTTCCTGGGCAACTCCCCAGAAGGCTTCCCTCTTCCCAGGCTTGTTTCCACAGGGTGCAGCCCTGTGCTATTAACTCATATTCAAATAGCTTTTTTCTTCATAGAGGAAGGAGAAGGCAGGCAGTGCTTTACACAAACCTCACCCAGTGGTTTCTCTCCCAGGCAACAAGCTGCAAAGATTTAGGACCAAGATCACCCCAGAGAAACTTCAAAGCTTTCCTTAGAAAGTAAATGCTCTTGCTCTTCCTTAATTCCCAGGCTTCAAAGCCTAAGTGTGGGGAGGCTCACGATTTCCCTGCTTTCTTCCTGCAAACTTTTATTCCCAGTAGAGCTGCGCTGCTGTGACAGTTAACTAAAGCTGTCAGTACAACATGCCCAGAGAAGGAACACAGTACTCTGCCATCACAAAACCAATTCTTTCTTCACTAAAACTACAATCAGAACAATTAAGACATGAAATACAGTATCTTTCATGCTTCTGAAAGTGACACGAAGATCATGTAGCTCTTGTCTGTGTGTTTTACTTCACAAAATTGCCTGGCAATCTCCCCATAAAATTCAATTTGCCAGACACAGCGAACACAAACTACCTAAGCTGTATCAATTCATTTGGTATCTACGGCTGTTGCAGCATCATAATGAGTTTGTGTAATATTAATATTCACTACACCAAACAAGCATAAATCAGCAACTATCCAAATGAAACAAAAAGACAGAATCAGACAAGTGCAGACAGAGAGCTCTGACAGCATTTCAATTCTGTGTGATTCTTGTAGCTGACATCCATCTGTACTGAGCAATGCACAGCAGATGCACTATTACCTTAAAGGAGCTACAGTGTATTTTGTTTTAAATCAACATGAATCTTCAGTGCAACAAGAGTTAATGTACCGAGAACCTGAGTGCTTCAGAAAAACAACAGACAGGTACGTAGCTTTCCACACAGGGAAGAAACAAACGCAGTACAGCCAGAAGAAACCTCTCTGCCAAGAGGCTTTCCAGCTGGCCTCAAGCTCCTCCAGCAAACAAGGTGCTGTGGCCTTCCTGCAACCTAGATGGACTCGCCTACATAACAATCCTAGCAGTACATACAGGAGATGCAGAACTGTAAGCAAAAAAGCGGAGACTGAAGCTAATCTGAGACACTGGACAAGCGTCAAAATCCTACTGGCAACCCTGTTTCGGCACAGGAGTTGGTCTCTAATGATACCAGCAAGCGCTGTTACGAATTAGCTAGTTGTTAAATGGCAATTCCTTTGCCTATCTCTTCTTTTGGCCTTAAAAATAACCCCCTCCTAAAGAGGCTCTTACAAGAAAGAAAACACTGTAAAGATGGAAGTGGTACGAAAGTCCAGAGCTGAGTACAAGCTTCCTGCCCCCCCCATGCCCTCTCCAAGGTTACCTGGGTCAGAAAACTTGGCTCAGAATCTGAAAACTTTTGACAAAGTGTAATTCCAGATTTGTTTAAGTGTTAGATTGTTGTATGATGCCAGAGAAAAAATCCCAGCAGTAGGAATTACTGAAACGAGGATAGTCTCACTACTGTCATTAAATTGAACTGCAAAGCAAAGCTCCCACTGACTTCAGTGGTACAAAATCACAGTCTCAAACCAAGATAGAAAATTGTGAGCTGCAGAGAGGACATGTCACATCAAGAATGTGATGGAACCTCTGTAAGGCAAAAATAAAGGCTCGGGGTCTCTTTCTGCAGCTTTGGTGACTTCAAGGGGATCACATATGAGCTGCAACAGCGTGGTTTAAAGTTGGGGAAAGATGGTGAGAAAGTTACTTGAATTTACTACTACTACTGATGATGATGATGTCACTGACTGTGTTTACTTTCCACGAATATCCCAATCAACATGTTGGCTTCCCAAACAGCACACTTTAAATAACTCTAAACAGCTCTAAATAAAATAGTAACTCTAAACAGCTCTAGTGGACTCCTCTACTTTGCTGGGACTAAAGACAGTGGGCAAAAGGAGCTGTGGAAAAGGCAAGTATATTTTCCTACTAATCTTTTCTCCTTTAATTGTGCCCCAGTGTTTCCAGCAAATATGGGAGTGAGATGAATGTAGCAAACCTTCTGGGTCTGACTCTGCTCTCTCAACCCTCTGTTGGCGTAACTGGTAGTACTACAGTGCGTAAAACTAAGTTGCAGTGATTTACATCAGTGTGACAGTGAGCACATTTCAAAAGTAGCTATCATTGTTTCCTTCTTTCCTCAGAAGCTGGCAGCAAAGGAAAGAGAACCTCTCCAGAGACAGCTAGGAGTAAAAGTGACTTATTTCAGATCAGCATCAACACTAAAAATTAACTCTTGTTCCCAAAAAAAGGAAGTTTCTTACTTATTGTGAAACCATGCATCATCCTCCCTTCACTGCCTTTCAGCGATGCAGGAGAAATGCTACATGGATCCAGCTCCGGCAGTGGGACTACAACCTAGCCTCTTCCAAGGACGGCCCTAGTCTCCTTGCCTTTAAAACTGGTATCAAGTTAATTATGAATTGACTGGATATTATTTAAGATCAGATTTCGTCTTCACTGATGCACTCAGGACAGGCGGAAGAACTTCATGCAGTGTTTGGTCAGAGCACGAATACTGACAGGCTTTATACAATCTTAGCTCCTTCACTTACATCTTCTCTGCTGCATGTGGTGTGAATTTGGAACTACCTCAGCCAAGAACAAATGTTCTTGAGGAACAACCACCAGCATGAGGAACAACGACTAGCATTTCAAAGAAACACCACTTAGTATTTAAAATGTGACCTTCTGCTAAAAGGGGCATGGAGAGAAAACAAACGAATGAACGAGTCGCTGACTAGTAAATACATCTGATGCTTGTGCAATGTCCTCACGCTAGTAATGCATTTCACCATCTCCTAGTTTTGTGAGAAGGGGTAGCACCTAAACTGTTAAAAGCACAGGAACAAGCAGAGGTCAGAGCTGCCAGCCGGGAGATCAAGAGTGAAAAGGAATTCCGGAAACCTGAGATCAGGTCCCCACCTGCAGCAGAGCTCCTGTGGCACTTTGGGTGAGGGATTTAACACAGGATCCGAGCTGTCAGTAGTGGATAGAGAAAGACAACTCCAGAAAGCAACTTGTCCCATTGTCAATGTCCAAGGCAGGCAGCAATAATCACCCACTGGACACACCCACTCTTCTCCAATGACAGGAAATGAAGTCTCAGTGAAGAACTTAGATTACATCCCTGTCCCTTTGATAGCTATGTGAGCTGAATTCCGACTGAAAGCTCCCTGTGCCTCAGCTACTCCTGTAAAACGAACAGCAATTCCTTCCCTGACAGGGATGTTAGGAAGATCAACACGTTAAAATTTTTGACATGCTCAGCAAAAACACGTGCTTGTGAAGGAGGGCCATGAAAGCATAAACAGGAAAAGGGGCTGGGTCTGAAATCTGGCTCCAGACACAAAAGCAGCATTATCTGCATATTGCAGCTGCCCTCAGTTACATCACTGCCAACCCTGTCAAGACAGCAGGGCTGCAGCGATGGGAGAATCAGAGCTCTGCACTTCCTGGCCAGGACAGTACGCAACAACAATGCTTGACTTCACGAGCCTCAGCTGTGCTTTCGGAGCAGGCAGATCAAGTCGAGCCTTTGTTCACTCAAGGCTGAGCTATTAATTTAGAATTCCCTGAGGCGCAATAGATGGGGAACCCAGTGACAACATTTTTATAGTCATTCTCCTTACAATGGGAGCTTGTAAATCCCAAGGCAGCTCTGGCCTGTGTTTGATTAGTGTACTTAAATCTCCACCTGTGCTTCTGCAATAACCAGTATTTTCTGTCAGAGCTTGCTCTTACCCTGTTGGAATCAATTCTTGTCCTGGAGGTGTAGATGGGAGGAGGGATGTTGAAGGCTTGAGGAACAAGATACTCTTCAGCATCCATCATATCTTCTAGGTCTTCCTCATCAAGAAGGTTTTGAAAGAACTTGCTGTCATTTGGGCTTGGGAGCTTCATACGATCATCTCCCTAAACAGGTTGCACCAAGAGAGGAAAACCATCAAAAGATGGATTAATTTCACAAACAGGGAACTTCAGCCTTATTTGTGCCCTAAGAGCCAGGTTGCAGGGACCACACTAGCAGTTTTGTCTGTTCTAAAACACCAAATCCTCATCGTTTGTTCTGATTTTTTTTTTACTAGGAATATGATGACGAAAAGGGAGTAACTGCATAAATCAAATAAAGTAATTTTTGGCATTCTCATGATCAAGCTTTTATTCTTTCTTCTCTCTTTTCCCCACAGAAACTCAGTTTCTGACCCAAGTTCTGTCAAGGCCTGATACATTTTCTGAAATATCTCAGCTGTTTAGGCTAACAAGGGGGAGAAAAATAACACAGAAACTGCTGTGGCTGGGCGTTTTCTTTATTTTCATTTGTATTTTTAAGGACTTGGAAGCTAAATTTTCCCCCAATGCATATGGAAAGTTCTGCAGAATGGGAAAAGAGCTGGAAACAATAAAAATAATAAAAAAAACCTCAATAGCAACAACAATGATATCTATTTTTATTGAAATAGCATCTACGAGCTGGAGAGGCAAATCAGTGCTGTGCTTTGCTTGGTGCCACAAAATGGGCTCCCAAAAAGCAGCTCGTGCACCAAACACCTAACAGCCCATAGAAACAACGCTAAACTTAACTGCATGGCTGAAGAGTGGCCTCCTACTCTGCGAGAATTATGCCGCACGTGGAATCCCACAGGCAACGATGGCTGTGCTACGGGGTGCATCCAGACTGGTCTAAAAGCTCAACAGCGAGCTTCTCATTCTTGATTGCATCTGGCGGGGCGATGGGGAGTCACAATGGCAGAGATACCAGGGCAATGGGGTTAGCCCTGTTTCTCCTGGAGAAGCACGCGGCCTATATTGACTGCAAGGATCACTGGAGATGAAGCCTTAGAGGATGAGATACCCAACAGGGCAGCAAAGGGCAGGGGACAGGAAGGGAGGAAAGAGGTATCTGTAACAGGGAAATATGTCCTATCTAACGAAGTAATCTAATCAGACTGATTTTTCTAGAATTACTTGTATTACTTGAACTTACAATTCAACACAGTGGGGGATACTGCGAGAGAAATTCCACATTTGGCACAACAAATCCTCTTGATCAATATTTTACTTTTCAAATATATTTAACTTCTCCTTGAGTTGAGGGAGAGTAGCGTACACTCACACTGTGCAATAACACACCACGAGTAGGCAAGCATGCCTACATGGTGAAATGAAACACCACACAGTGAGACCAGCACTAGACCCAGAAGCAATCAGGAGACGTAAAGCGGCAGTGACTGTACTTCTGGAGGCTCTACAACAAGGAATTCCTACATCAGCATGATGCTAAGGACCTGCTGGAAGTATCTGTACTCCATACAGTGTGGAGGACTTATAGCATGAGATATACCATGGGAGTGTTATTACTCGGATCAAATCAATTCCATGCTTTCATCTCTGGTGTTTCACCACCATCTTACTTAATTTTAATTTTTCATTTTCATTTTGAAATGCTCCCTCGCTGGGACACTGATGGACAAATCTTGCCTCCAGTTCCACGAGAGAATGCAAAGTAAATGAGCAGCTTGCAAAGCCAGATCTTGTATGTACACTCATAAACACAAGCTTAAGTGAATTTCAGATTATTTTACTGTTATTATTTTTGAGATACTGACACTCGCCATTCTACTTCATTCTACACAGCACTGTGGCCACTGTTTGCTATGAGTTCAAAAGGACCTTGAACTTAAAAGATTCAAAGACAACCCCCTTAACAGTCAGTCTTAGCAGACACAATTCCTCCTTTTCCCTGATGTTGCAGAGTTGCTTACCTGAATTACAAGGTATCTCTGAGGGTCTCGAGCCATTCTAGAGAATTCAGCAGCCAGCTCCTTGAATTTTGGCCGACTGTCAGCATCAATCATCCAGCCTGGAGACAGATGAAAGATGAGAAAGCAAACAGTCAATTGTCAAGGGAAGAAATCATTCAGTTTTTAAAAATACACAATTTGAACTCCTTGATGTCCTTAATAGCTCTAGCCTGAAGAAAAGCTGCAATAAAGAGCCCAGAAGAATGGAGAGCGAGGACTCTATGATGCATTTAAAATGGCAAACCCCCAGGCTTGGCCAAAAAAAGACTAGATTGTTCCACACTGCATGGATTCCTACTTAACGTGTTCTGAGCTCCTGTTACCCATCCCCAAAACAGAGACAGCAACAACGCCTTGCAATTTTCTGTGTCTATCTTGCCCACTTATACACCAGCTTTAACTATTTTTTATCACGGATGTGTCCAACCTCTAATATAATGAATCTGACCTCATCCGAGTGTAGTGGGTTTATTACAAATTTACTACTAAATACAATTTTACTGCAACTGACCACAGTGACTTAGACCGAAAAGAACTGTTCAACAGATCTACAGGATGACTGACCTCACATGTACCTTTCAGGCAATTCTGCATTCATGTGTCTGCATCAATAATGCAGACCTCACACAAGGCATTAGAAGCTATTTTAATTGAGTAAGGGTGATTCTTTTGTCCTTCACTCTCCAAAAAACATACATCAGGAACAACAATTCTCAATCCCTGCTAATGCTTTCTGCACAACAAGAAAGCAGTATGGGCAGTCACCACTAGCAACTGGTTTATCTCGGTATCAGGTTTTTCTAACAGAAGATCCTATCAGTAGCTTCTCAAGAACACGTTCTCATTTGCCAGGGAGGCTGGATGAAGCAGGCCTTATCCTCTTCGTGCCGTGTAACCGAAGAAGTAACCAATGCAGGAAAACCAAAGTTACTATAGCTTATAGAGGATTTCACACAACTATGTCTAGTTGCAAATTTTGGTCTTCCAGGACACCTCACCTGCCAGGACGTCCTTTTGTCTGATGTTCACCTCGTAGTGATTAGAAATCCTATCAAATGGAACATTTTTGCGCTCAACCAACATGAACCCCTTGCACTGTTCAGACAATTTCCATATCTGCATGCACCGTTCAGCTGTGTTCAGAAGATACGTTGTTTACTTCTTCTAGTTTTGTTTTCGTTCTTTCAGTGTTTTTGTGTACAAAGCAAAAGGGAAAGGACTATATAAGATGGATGAGATGTCTGTATGCTAATCTCACTTAAATTAAGTCAGAAACACCAGAGATGTTCCTAATTCTTTTAAAATTAGAAGCGTAGCCTTGGAGGATACTGTTACTACTCTGGGTATCTTGGAGATAAAGGGTAGGAAAAAACCATGTGCAGAATGTATTCCCTTTTTTGCTAAAGGAAAAATATAAATTATTGTACTGGACTAAGAATAATAAAAAAATATCCTCTCTGTAGCATTTCTTGTACTAATTTCATTTTACTTTTTATTATTACTATTGCAATCATCATTCTCTTTACTAACAATAAAACATTCAGGCTTTCTTTCCTCACTGTTTGGAACCAGCATTTCTCCTTGCAATCTTCACTGGCTGGGTATCCATGTATCATAATTAAGTTTAATACTATCTTTTTTAACATCAGAATCAATTGTCATGGAAATGACAAGGGTTTACAATAACAATCACACAATTTTACTTCACAGCAAGAATATGAGATACCATCTGACAGTAATAAGAAGCTGAGCTAACTCAACCCTTCATGGCTAAATTCCTGTCTTTTGCAATGGCAAAAAATGTGCATACTGTATTGAAATGGAATTTAGAGCATCTTGGGAAGCTTGTTTTGAAGCAGCCTGCCCTACTACCCAGCCCTGTCAGACACTATAGATGGAAATGTTGTGAAGCAGTGTTCCTCTCGCCCTGAGCGCAGCCGTACTAAAGGCGACAATTACTTACACTTCACCATCACCATATAAACATCAATAGTGCAGATGGGAGGTTGGGGCAGTCGCTCTCCCTTCTCCAAGAGGTCGGGGATCTCTCGAGTTGGGATTCCATCGTACGGCTTCCCACCAAAGGTCATAAGCTCCCAGATAGTGACTCCTAGACAGAAAAAAAACGTTAATGTCTGAGGTCATAATGCTCAAATTCTCTCGCAATTTCCTAACATCACGGTATTCCAGCCCAGTTCTGGACAGCAATCTCTTCTTCATTACCACTGCCTGTAAAACCACAGAAGTTTGGTATCCCATTTACAAAGCTCCAGAAAATGGTGAAACAGCATTTTGTGCTAATCTTCAGAAGCAAACTCCTTCATTTTTATTAGTATAAGAAGCAGCATGATAGATCTGAGGCATGAGAGAAAATTCTAAGACAAATAAATGGTGGTAATGAAAACGGATGCAATAACAAAAGAATGCGCCACACTCTTTTATCATATCAAAATGGAAACCAATGGCTGATGTACTCTATTATTTTAAGGGGAAAAAATGCAGACATTCCCTAACTTAGAACATCGATTTCCCACAAAGGTACAGTACTAGGTAACATTAATTCAGCATCTTTGCCTTGTAAGTCATTCACAGCCACTTGTATTATTTCTTCCCTTAAACCACCTTATGGATTTGAGTTATGATAGTGCTGTGCCTCAAAACTGAGATTCTCTTTTTGAATAGTCACAGGATTTGTTTCAGCATCGGAGCTGGAAATAAAGATCATATATCATAAATAACAGAATTCATCCCTCAACAAAATCTTAAATATTGTCAATGCTGCTCTCACATCCATTTAACTTTTATTTTTATCGCAAAGGTAATTTTAAATATGCATCCAGATCACTAACCGCATTTTGCCAGCTGTCACACTAATGTCAAAGGTGATGGGCAAAATTAACGTATGTATAAAACTCATAATTGTTTCACCCTCATTCATGTCTTCACTGACGTTCAATAACTGTAACTTGCCAATTGTTTTTGGTCTTGTCCTTTCTGATTACAGGTATTTTGGGCTTCCTGCACTTAAAATGAAATTCATAAATGGAGGAATATTTTTTCCTAAGTGATACAGGATGTACAGAATTTGAGGAGAAAGAGCAGCTTTACATGATCGATTTAACTTCAATGTGTTTTTCTGAGCTGAAGAGGACAGCTAACCAGTCACAGCAAATAGTGTCTTTTGCTGCTACCCACAGGTAAAAGTGAGTAATGAATACAACTGTACACCTTTTTGTTTCAAAATGATGCAGCAACAGAAAATGCAAATAGGAGTCCAAAGCCCTAGATACTGCTGAAAAATTCCACTTACATAGATATACAACTTCGTCTGTTATACCTGTACTAGGCAACCAGGCAGGCAGCTTGGCAGATGTGGCACAATAACTCGTCTGGGTAACAGAAATAACAACAGTAAATGAACACCTCACTTCTGAAACGTGACTACTTTTTTGGTGTGTGTGTGTGGAGTCCACATGAGCTAACCTGTTAGTTAGCTTGGAGAGCTTGTCTCTTCATCTTCTTTCTCTTGCCGTATTTGCTCTGTATAATGACAAATTCCTTTTTATCTGACTGTAGGTACAGAAAGTCCCATAAGCCTGAAAATGTTTTTTGACATTCATGGCTTTTGGAGTTAAGTTTTCAAAGGACTGCTGAAAATTATGACCTGCAGCTGTATTTTTATGAATCTGTGGCTGAGCTGAAAGAGGCCTTCTTCTGTCATAATAATCAGCCAAACTGCTACCAGCTCAGCCCTTACGGCAGTCATCCTGGCAGGGACATCATGATAATGTATTTTAGTGAGCAGGGAAGTAATGCAGGAGACAAGAATTGCTGCTTGGACTTACACATTAAAAAACTAATAGAAAAAAAGACACGACACGGGGAAAAAAAAAAGGAGTGAAATCCACTGGAATTAGGAAAAGAAGGTATCTTTAAGATAGTAACACAACTTGGTTTAATGCTTTACAATTTTTAAACCAACCACACAAAGATTTACCATAGCTCCAGACATCACTCTGATGGGTAAATTTTCTGTAGTGAATGCACTCCAGAGCCATCCACTTAAT